CGGGGACATGGCAACTACGGGGACACGGTAGCTACGGGGACACGGCAGCTGCGGGGACATGACAACTACGAGGACACGGCAATTAAATCTACAAACCATATATCGTCACCCGATAAAGTTTTTATACAGTAAGCATGCATAGTAAATGGACGCGGCATAAATATTAAATATTACAGAATACCATTCGTTTACGATGTAATAATAAAATTGCAGTTAATAATTATTTGTATATGGATTTGTACCTGTTCTTGCATCACTGTTCATTTGATTGGCGGCGTCATCGCCCTGGCATTAATACAAATTTGAGTGATTATTGTATTCGCAGGACTTTAGACGAGTTTTTATAATTTTGACAATTTGGGCATGGTACCATCGGACGTCTAGAAAAAAAGGTACGTCACTTTGGGTAAGATATTGCCCTAATGAGACCGGATGACAACCAAAGTGAGGACGAGTAATGAAAATAATAATATAGGAATAAGGAGTAAGGATAAAGGAATGGAGGAGAATGATGGGAAGCGAAAGAGCAAGGCCGGGAAAGGAAGATAAAACTAGACCTACGCACAAAACACAGGCACGGTGCCAGAGAAATAGTGCATGTGAGATATATTTAGATTTATAATATTATATGGAGAGTAAATATCGAATATACCCACATCATCGCCGGGATATATGCTTTCTCCGTTGCTTTCCGGATAATAAGTTGGCAAGTCGATCATTTGTCCGGCAGGAACTTCTCTCATCCTCGCATGCACTGTCGCTGCTACTAGCAGTAAGGCGAGTAGAGGCGCTGACGATGATGGCATGGTGATATTCAAAGCCAATCTGTGGAAACAGTTTGACATCGAGATATTGTAGTTTCACGACGCAGCTTTGATGCCCCAATTTGGTCGAAAATCATCGATACGATATTATAATTTCTACTTGAACAAAAATTAATCTATTTAATTCCTTATAGCATCGTTTGTTATTCTACTCTGATCTTATATACGTTGTTATGCTGACCTAAACCTCAGCGATATAGTTCAGCTGCGACAAGCAAAATTACAGGAGTTGTAAAATGTCGACGACAAATGCATTAGTGCAAGCGGAATGTAAATAAATAACCATATTATTGTTACCAAATATTGTCTCCAGTATCTCTCCACTTCTCTCTCCCGTAAGCAGTATGGATGAGATGGCTGCCAGGTCCGGATTGAAGACGTCACCTACCGCATCTGGCTCTTATACATACTCCGAAATCCGGGTAAAATCCCGGGGTAAAATGGAGAACGTTGTTTTAGTCATCGGGTCAGGCGTTGGGCTCGCAGGTGCAACGGAAGGATACAGTGACACAGGATACAGGATACAGGATACACAGGATAGAGTTCACAGTGAAACAGATACCGCATAGATCTAGCTGCTAGTAAACCTATTTTCATGATATTATCCTACTATTTGTTGGTTCATGCCTGGTTCCGCGCACTGTCATTGGTCAACGACCAATCGTCGTCACCAACAAAATTTACCAGAAAATGTTTGAATAAAGTCGACGCCGAGGCTGCATGCCGATGTCACGTAGCAAGCAGGATGGAGTGAAGCAAATACCAACAACTCTACGAATGGTCACGAAAGGAAACGACAGTGTCTGTTCCTGGGGCTATCAGATATTCGGCGAAAACGACAATTTTCTGATAACATACGCAAGCGAATGGGGGGGTGTATCCTTGTTGTAAAGGACAAGTACGTGATACCTGTATCATGAATCTCTAGGAAACGGCCATACATCGAAAGACGTTGTGTATTGACGTGTAGTATCGACTTGATTGCATGTGTGTATTAATTGACGGTAGTCTCGCAGCCTGGTCGGGCTAGGTTTAAATAGGTACAGGGAAGAGTAGAGAATAGGATACGCGGACAGGTAGACGCTCGCTGTTATAAACGAATGAGCAACATTCTTTCATGCAGCCATTTCTATGCTCACGATAAAAATTTTACTACTAATTTAAAATGACTGGTCCAGCTATAGAAATAACATAGGTGTCTCTATATATTTCTATGGGTCCAGCAGACCTACTCATACCTACCCCACCCCTTATA